TCTGGGGGTCGAAGTCCACCCCTCTTAAAGCATATCAGCTGGGGAATTCTGGGAGTCGAAGTCCACCCCTCTTAAAGCATATCAGCTGGGGAATTCTGGGGGTCGAAGTCCACCCCTCTTAAAGCATATCAGCTGGGGAATTCTGGGAGTTGAAGTCCACCCCTCTTAAAGCATGCCGGCTGGGGAATTCTGGGGGTCGAAGTCCGCCCCTCTTAAAGTTTGGAAAACACCGGGCAGGGCACAGAATCAAATCACAGTAAGATAGAACGTAGATGAACATTAAAAGGAAAACCAATCCTTTGATTTCTGACAGTGAAGTCTGGACAGCCATCTATTCTGGGTTCTTCAGTGCAGCTTTTCTCTCAGATCAGATGGATGCCCTCAAGGTTCCTTCCAACTCGAAGCATTTCCACAGGAGTTCCTGTGGACCGCCAAACTAAACGGAAGTGGACATTTGGAGAAGCACAATGGACCTTTAAGAGTGGCTTTTATGTGCCTCTGAACACCACCCACCCTGGGAAGAAAGGCCTACCCCCCAAGCTCCCACTTGGCCAAAGGAGCGCCTTGAAAAGACTTCCAGAGTTAGGAGGCCCAACTCCATTAAATCTTGGGTTTACTGGCTCCCTCAGATGTATCTTCTGCTCTAGAAGACGACCAGATGCAGAAGTGCAGGGAAGAGCAACAAAGATGATTAGGGTATCAGAGAGGGGTGGGCTGCTGCTGGTTTTACTAAGAATGCGCAATGCTTGTGTGTGTGTGTGCTGTTCAATACAAGTTGTTCTTCGCACATGCGCGGAACAATTTTCAGTGAACTGCGCACCTGCAGTCACTAAAAACCAAAATGGTGGCGGCCCAGCAGCAGTGAGGGAACCAATCCAGGGGCGTGGCCAGCCTGGGTCGCTGCCGGTTCTGCGACCCAGGCCTGAATTCCACTGCCAGTTCAGCCGAACTGGGCCAAACCAGGAGCAACCCGCCCCTGGTGTCAGACCTTGTAGCCATCTTTTGACATTTGGGCCTTCAGGCCTGCTGGCATTTGCTACCGTGGGAAAATGGGAGGGGGGATTATATGGAGTGTGGGTGAAATATAGTCAAAACAACCTTCTTTTCTCAGAGAGTCAAGGACGTCTTGCCCTGCAGCTGCGATGAGGTGACTGGGGGGGGGGCATCTCCAGTTTTGGATGGTGCCTGATTGGACCATGTGATGGACATGTGAGTCCTGCGCAGGAATTTGAACTTTCTTTTGGGTGGGGAAAACCTGGAAACGTTCAGATTCGGGTTTTCCCAGATGTGCCAATATGACATTTCTAACAAAATGGAACTTTGAAGGAACTGAAGCCTCATAGTCTTCGTTCCTTGGGGATGTTACTTGGAACCCTGACATAGGGGGCAACATATGAAGAACGGCTGCAGNAGAAATGCGTTAGGGCTCGGTGAGGATAGTTAGTTAGAACTAATAGTTAGAACCGAGGAAGGTTCTTGGATGAGAAATGAAATGTTTTCAAAGGGAAAAAAGAAAATCCAAGAAGATCGAGATGCCTTTTGGAAAAGCTGCTTTGGGACGAGAACAAGAGAAATAACAGCGGGACATCTAGTTATTTTCAATGTTTACTTTCCTCTTTTCTTCTGGTCTGGGTCTTTCAGAAGGGAAAAATGAGACTCAGCAGTGGCCAATCACCAGGAGATGAAATCATAGGCATGAAAAGCAGCTGGGTGACTTTGGGCCAATCACCAGAAGACAGGGAATTCTAGTTCCACCTTAGCCATGAAAGATCAATCACCAGGAGACGGTGAGTTCTAGCCCTGCCTCATGCATGAAAACCATCTGGGTAACTTGGGGCCAATCACTAGGAGATGGTGAATTCCAGTCCCTCCTTAGGCATCAAAGCCAGCTGGATGATTCTGAGCCAATCACCAGATGATGATGAGTTTTAGACACAACTTAGGCATGAAAAGCAGCTGGGTGATTTTGGGACAATCACTAGGAGACAGGGAATTCTAGTTCCACCTTAGCCATGAAAGATGGCTGGGTGAGTGCACCAACTACCAGGAGATGGTGAGTTCTAGTCCTGCCTCATGCATGAAAACCAGCTGGGTAACTCTGGGCCAATCACTAGGAGATGGTGAATTCTAGTCTTCTCTTAAGACAGTAAAGCTGGCTGGGCTGACTGGGCCAATCACCAGGAGATGGGGAGTTCTAGTCCTGCCTTAGGCAGAATCTGGGTGATTCTGAGCCTTATCACCAGAAGATTGTGAGTTCTAGTCTTACTTTAGGCAGGAAAGCTATCTGGGTGACTTTGGGTCAATCACCAGGAGACAGTGAGTTCTAGTCCTGCCTCGGGCATAAAAGTTGGCGGGGTGACTTTGGGCTACTCTTTCAGTTCAACCCACCTGACACAGTTGCTGTCATGGGGAAAATAGGAGGAGGAAGGCGTGCTGGCTATGTTCACTGTCTTTTGAGTTATTTATAAAAACTATAAAGGCAGGAAATAAACAAGTACCCCAAATTTGGCCATATGACTGCAGAATGTTTGTGTGTCCCTCTGTCTGCCTTGATCACTAAGCAACCGGTCATAAGTCGAGGAATATAGAAGTGAGTACACCCCCTCACTTGTTGTAAATATTTAAGTATATCTTGCCAGCAATTTAGACACTGATGGCTGTGAGTTGTGTTATTTTGAGGGGACAGCACATTTACATTGTTATACACGCTGTATCCTCACTACTTTACATTGTAGCCAAGTGTAACTTCTTCATGAAAAGATATACTATTTAGAAAATGTGAGGAGATGTACTGACTTCTGTAATATACTGTATATACCGGAATATATGAAAACAGCCAAGGAAAGAAATTCAGTTCTCTCAAGTGTTGAGTTCCAGCTCTCCCACAGCCTATTTAGAAAAAGGAAGGATAATTTTTTCCTTTCCCGGCAACGGATTGGTTAAACCACCTTCATGGGATTATTCAGCTCCTCGTCTTCCCTTTCCTTCTGCAAGCGTTTTTCTTCTTCCTCCAGCAGTTTCTCGGCCTGGAAGTTTCGGGTGGCTCCGTGCTCCATGGCATAATCCGTGTTTTCGGGATCTGTCTGGAGAGAGAGAAGGAGGCAAAAGAGAGAAGAGGTTTCATTCTCTGACCTGTAACCGGAAGGGCTGAGCCAAGGACGATCTGCTGCTCTAAGGAACCGGTCAAGCCGCAAAGTTTACACCTTGATAGCAACAAACAATCCTGCAAAAATATATTCCTATGTGCTGTGCACAGAAAGGCGGGCAGCTGCCCTGATTTTGGAGACAGCAGAAGGTTACAGGTGATACAGTGGTGGGTTTCAAAAAAAATATGAACCTACTCTGTGGGTGTGGCCTCCTTTGTGGGAGTGGCTTGCTGGCCATGTGACCTGGTGGGAGTGGCTTGCCAGCCATGTGTTTTCTTTGTCTCTCTCTCTCTCTTTCCTTCCTTTTGTTTCTCTGTCCCTTTTTCCTTTTTTTCTTTCATCTCTCTCACTTTTTCTTTCTTTTTTTCTTTCTTTCTTCCTTTCTTTCTCTTTCTCTCTCTGTGTGAGAGTGTGTGTGTGTGTGTGTTTGTGTGTGTGTCAGTGATGGGTTTCAAAAAATTTTGGAACCTCTTCGGTAAGTGTGGCCTGCTTTCCGGATCCACTGGTGGAACCTCTTCTAACCGGTTCGGTAGATTTGACGAACCAGTTCTACCGAACTGGTGCGAACTGGTAGGAACCCACCTCTGAGGTGATAGGACACAACTAGGCTGCATTAATAAAGGGATAGAATCAAGATCACGCCAGGTTCTACAGCAGGGACAGCTAATCTTTATGGCGTTGCATACTTGAAAACGCTCACACGTGGGCGCGATCCCCTCCCTGCAGCCTCCTGGGACCAAAAACAGGCCGCAGAGGGGCGCCACACACCCCACGCTCCCCTTGCACATGTGTGTGACCCCACCCACCCCGCCCCCGTGCATGCGCACACGTCTCCCACATGAGTCCCACATCCCATACATGCACGGCAGAAACCCGAAAATCAGCTGGCCAGTGGGAGGTGCGCAGGCATGCAGGTGGAGCTGAGCTGGGCCAATGGCTCGCGTGCCCAGAAAGGGCCTTGCACAGGACTAGAAGACCTCCAAGGTCCCTTTCGACTCTTATTACTCTGTGTTCTAGACTGGAAGAGAGAAGAAGAAGTGTTACCTTGAAGGTGATTTCCGCCAGGCAGCGTGTGCATTTGATGTAGAACCGAAAGATGGGAAGTCCCAAGTAAGATTCATTCTGCACCGTCTCTTTCCGGGCGTTAAATTTTTTGCCCTTGTAAATGTACTCGCCGCACGTCTTGCACCTACAAGATTGAAAACAATACAATAATACAATACAATTCAATAGCAGAGTTGGAAGGGACCTTGGAGGTCTTCTAGTCCAACCCCCTGCCTAGGACTAGAAGAACTCCAAGATCCCTTCCAACTCTGCTATATAAAACATCTTCAAGAAATGCAATTTTTCATCTTTGCTGACAGACTTCTTTCACCCTTCCCCAGGGAGGTTTATGCTACAACTCGCCTTGCGGGCTCAGTCGATTTACTATCACTGGTAGAAGCAAGCCAGGAGCCGCCAGCGGAAATTGTGTGTAGATAATCCTTGACGTACAACCACCAACAGGGCCCAAAATTTCTGTTGCTAGGCAAGACAGTTGTGAAGGGAGTTTTGCCCCATTTTTGCGGCTTTCCTTGCCACAGCTGGCATGTAGGGATAGAGGAAAGGTTACGAAGAGGCACGCGCAGCACAAGGACGCGTCTCAGTAACTGCTGACCTCAGATGTCTATGAGCTCACTTAATTAGCACCGCCAGGAACTCTCAAGATATACGAGACTCTACCCTGACTGGGATGGTTCTTAAGTTTGACAAGGAGAATACACCAATTACAATGCTGTTGCTATATATACTTTGCTTTGCTTGTTAAAACTGTACAGAAGAATAAACTCTGCGAAGGCAGAGGAACATTTTGGATGAACCCTGCTATGACCGGCCTCTAACTGGTAAGTGAATCGCTGCAGTTGTTAAGTTAGGAACACAGTTGTTGAGTGAATTTGGCTTCCCCATTGACTTCGCTTATCAGAAGGTCGCAAAAGGGGATCGCGTGACCAGGGGTGGGCTGCTGGGGGTTCGCACGGGTTCAGGTGATCCTCTAGCTAGGTTAGGTTTAGGTTTATTGGATTTATATGCCGGCCTTCTCCTAAGGACTCAGGGCGGGGTACAACATAAAAGAAAACACATATTACAAAAATTAAAAGGGACATTAAATAAAG